CACCAGGGACCACTTACTTTGTTTATGTCAGGGGAGACTATGTGTCCAACAAGATAATAGGCCTTGTAGTACATCTGGTGGTGGTTGTGCTCGGTGGTAGAGTTGGTCATTCAATGTGTCTTGCCCACACTGAACCCTAAATTGCTTCCACTGCTTTGCTGACCGTGTGTATGGAATAGTAGTACTGTTGGGTGGTAACTTGATCCTCTGCAATCAGTGTTTGAATGTGGTGTTGAATGGGTGAATGTGACAAGAAGTTTAAAAAGCACTTTGTGTCATGATTTGATCTGTTTTTTTGTTTTCAGAGTTTAGCGTTTCTTCTTCTTCTCTGGTGTTGTTTGTTTCCCTTGTGTGTTTCTTTAAATGAATGTTTCCTAATTTATTCTTCAGTGTTTCCTGTGTTATTTTGTAATTTCTTCTCCTTACGTTTATTGTGTCCAATTCAGAGTCTTACCTAGTGAAACTTAATGCACAATAAATTAATTCAATCAAGGATGTAAAAGGTCCTCTTTTTTATTCTTTATTTCTAAAGTTTTGCACTATAAGAATACAAATTGTGGAACTTAACAGACAGATTGCCAAGAACCTCCTACTCCCTCATGATAATGAGGGAGTAGGAGGTAGGGCAACAACCGACTGGCAGGGGTGAGTGCTAGCCCCAGTCAACGCACCTCACCCTATAGCTCGCCTTACCCCACCCCCTCTCAAGATCTCTCTTCAGACTTTTCTCAGTGTTCGAGGGCCATTAAGGGCCATGTGGTAGGATAGGTTGTATCAGCATTGTCACTACCTGCAGCTCGCATCAATGGAGTCTGTTGAATGTGGCAATGTTGTTTTTGTTGCAGTGGCAACTAATAGTAGGTTAAGAAAGTACATGGCACAGGGTTATAAGTGGGTTGAGGAGTGTCTTCACCGAGCGCTATGATTTGGGCATAATATACCTTGTATTTATTTCAAATTCAAATTGTTTACAAAAAAACACAACATATATGTATGAGTGTTTTGTCAAAATGGGACAAGCAATAATGGATAATAAATAATGTGAAAATGTTTATTTAATTTGATACTTTATTGGTTCAAAATCAAATAGGTATTTTGTGTTTAAAAATGAATCTATTATACTAGTATTTAAAGGTATTCTCTGCACAGTCAGCTTTATTGTGTTTAGTTTAGTTTGCTCAATAGAGGGCAGCACCTGAAGTTTTGTGCAAGGAGTGTGAGACTAATTAGCTGACTCAAGCCAGGTGTGTAAGCAGGCTGAGGTGACTTAATAGGGTGTGTGTGTGTGTGTGTGTGTGTGTGTGTGTGTGTGTGTGTGTGTGTGTGTGTGTGTGTGTGTGTGTGTGTGTGTGTGTGTGTGTGTGAGCAACAGTGGAGGTGAGAGGAAACTTCACAGGCACAAGTCATTCTACAATGACTATAGAGACGCCATTGATTAATTTTTCATTGTAGTTGATGCGCATAATAATCCTTTGTTAGATGATACATGTGTTGAAATAAGTTTAATGCTCTACAGTTACACATTGAGTGGTGCACAGTCTTAACTGTTTTGTTAAGATTTAATTGACTGTGCAGCGTGCTTTGTATTTGTTTGTTAGATAAATTAAAACAGCATGATAGTTAAATGCAGTGGTTTAAAGAGCTGTTTGCATAGTTCATGCTCTATTGTTATTTACATTTATATCCTGTTTGGTGGAAGAGTTAATTAATAATCCTACTCCTACTCATTCTAATTGTAAAGGAGTGTTTTGAGAACAGTATAAATAAATATAATGGAACCAAAATCCATGGAACGGAAGTCGAGTTGTCCAGTGTCCTCTGTCACCTTCGAGGCGTTTTTCAAGTTCGGGCACACATTTTCACACACACCATAAAGTAACTTGACTATGAGTATTAACAATGTTTCTATACTCAACTATAACACCTTTAAGACATTAGTGTAAACAAGCTGTGTTTTTCACATTCTACAGAAGTAATCTCCTGATCCTGACATCCACACCATCCTGCTGATGGGAGCTCTGCAGCAGTGTGTAGGTTTACTCACATGCAAGGTCTGCCAAAGATCCAGCCTGTGGAGCACTGGGGGCTTGTGATGTCATGAAATAAGTGTCAACCAAGCTGGCTGCGGAAACACCAGAAGTCACATGTACACCCAGTCAAAAAAGCTGTTTCTCACAGCAGAAAGAAACACATTTGCAACCTGTTTCAAAAAACAAAATTGGTCTGATCAGCTCATGTCTCGATCGGCACAAAAAAAAAAAAAAAATTTTAACTCATCCGTTTTGATATGAAGGATAGGCATTATTCACAGTAAGGGGCGTAGCTGACCTGATTGATAGACAATGGGAAGTTGAAAATTAGGTTGAGACAGCATTTTAAACATGACGACCGCAATTGTACTCTAGGCCCCCCTGCAGCAACAGATGGGTGACGCAACTCAGGCTCCGTCCATTAATATTTACAGTCTGTGGTGTCAACCCATATGCTTCCTGGCTGTGAGTGCCTTGGACAGCTGGGTGCATTGAGCAGTTTCTTTGGGTTGGAGGGGAGAGGGAGAGGGAGAGGGAGAGGGAGAGAGAGGGAGGGAGGGAGGGAGGGAGGGAGGGAGGGAAGATAAAATGAGTGACAAGCGTTGCAAGTGGGTTTGTGTTTTCAGTCAAACACAATATGGGTGATTAAAAAAATTGCTGAACTCATTTGTGTGTAACTGTTTGCCATTAAATAGTTGAAAAAAAATTATATATATGCAATACAGCATCACAGTATGGACAGAATGTAAGGTAGGGTATGTTTTTGCACTGTACAGCTTGTATTTGTGTTCCATTGTGTTCACATTTACATCTTCCCCACACAGCTGGCGCCCCATGACATGTTGCTGTATTTTTTTTAGTCTGTTCTAGTGAAATGACCTGTTGTCTGATCACAGGCAAGGCTTTGTCTGTGCTTTGTAGCAAACATCTTCTATAGGGATCCTTATTGTTTCATGCCAAGGCTTGCTAACTGATACACAGACATGTTGTTGACCACCTCTCCTTCTTTGTCTCTCTCCTCCTATATGTTTATGTGGAGGGTGAATGTTTCTTTGTGCACAGAGTCATTGGCACCAACCGTTGTCCACTGCTACAGGACACGTTACCATGCATGTAATCAGGGCCAGACTTTGTTCCTTTTTAGTTTCACCATCACTCAGTTTCCTGTTTGCTTTTTAAGTTTTCCTCCAGAACATGAATTACTAATAGATGAGTCAGTGTGGGTTTTTGTATGCCATTTAAATATATATTTGTGTCTTAGAAATCTAGAACATTTAGAAAAACAGAAATTGCCTCTTAAAAGTTAAACACTTGAACATTGTGCATGTGTACATACTGTAAAACTGCAAATGTAACCTCACATGCGAACACCAACACAATGTTTAATAGCCATATGTCTAACATTGCTTCACCGGGTCAGCACTTGCTATGATGAAATGTATGTCTGACCAGTGGACCCAATTATTTAGTGCTCATCATAATTTCACAGCAGCAATGCCATCAACTGAGACATGGAGCCTGAATCTATGAAAGCTATAAGTAAATGTTTAGTGTCAGCTTGCCACTAAATTGACCATGCATGAGATTATACTGTCAAAAACATTTTTTTTCAGTACAGCACAATGCAAAGAATATTTAAAGCAAAGTTTTGAATGTTAAATCTTAAACACAGAAAAATTAGAAGCCTGAGAAGAGAGAGTGGCCCATTGTTTGTAATCTTTCATTACGGTTCACAAAACTATGGCATGATGAAACACTACTCAACCCACACCACAACATTTCAATGAGACACATGCCATGCATGTACCATGAGAACACCACCCATGTGTTGTGCAATGTCAAAGATGTATATGTGGGATCTGTTGACATCCTACAGATCACATCAATGAATGTTTTATATGTTTGTGTGATTCTGGAGGTGGAAAAAAGACTTGTGAAACCAGGGGTTAGCTTTTCTATCAATCATTGTAGGATTGAACTAAGGCTGGCTCATACTATGAAGTATGAGTGTGATTCAATTGACAATTGTTTTGGATAAAAGAGCAGGGGATGGGGGTGGACAAGTTCACATTCTCCTTAAACATTCAGTAACATTTGTGCCTCTTATTTCTTAGCAGCTGTGAAACAGACCCACCATTGGGAATTCAAGATATGACATGTCCTGGTAAAATTAGAATTAAATTTGACACTATTTCCGCAAGATACAATTAATTCAAGACCAACATATATGCGTATATATAAAATAAAACAAAACAATATATATAAGTCAAGAAATATTACACAAATAATGTTATATTGATAGGCCTATATTTTGTCTGATTGTGGGACTTTAAATATTAAAACTATTACTACTAATACTAACTAATTTTTAACATAGATCATAGTAACACTTATAACACATCTCCAATGAAAGACCACGTTCAGAGTCTGATCCCTAGAAATGCACAGAATTATGTCGTCTAACTTCTTTATGTGGAGAATATTTTGCGCCCTCTAGAGGTCAAGTTAATACACTGCATCTTAGAGTTCAGAATACAAATAAAGCATAATGGGTGTTGCTTTATCGAAATCCCAGTGTTTATTTATAATATATATTCGTGTTCATTTAACTTTTTAATGTGAATTATTTAAATAGGCTAACAGTAATTTACGTGATAAACTGATTTTCTTTTCTTGCACTTTTCAGTTTCAATTTCGGGTCCTTTCCCTCACGAATTCAAATTAATATAAATGTAATTTAGAATAGAACACTGGCGAGTTAACAAAGGAAGACATAATTATACAATCTTTGATGAATAAATGTCATAACTAAGCCAACTGCATAGGTCTGTACGTTTTTGTGAAGACATCTGCTGTTGTGATGTAATGGTCACTTCAGTCTTGGTGACAGCCGCACAGTTTAACAAACCGGTTTCTTATTGGTCCATATTTGACAACCACATTCTCTGGCCAATCAGTAAGCCAGAAACGTCTTGGTAGCAGTACAGTAGGGAAGAAAACACATCTGTCGACAACCCGCACAAGAGGAATACTGTACCTGAGCCGCTGTAATAATTGTGTGTGTGACTGCAAAAAATGTGTCCGTAAGTGTAACTCTCATGTCTGATTTACAGTATTCGTAAAGGTCGTGTCGAATAGCCCGGCTTGCTAGCTAGCATTGCAGCTAGCTGTAGTATGGTAATGCTTAAATGACGATAACAGCTGATTTCTTCAACTTGTGATGTGAAACATTATCTAAGGAGCATGGCGGTGATTGGGAATCATTTTCAAAGCGCCTTTCAAATACCATTTAAGTTTCTTTTTTAAGACAAGATAGATGTCCTTTTATTGGCCGACCTAGCTGTCTCTGAAGCGAAACAGCATGTGTGTGAGCAGCTAGCTGTCGTACTAAGACAGGGAGCGTCATCAAACCAGGTGAAGCAGCTGCTCGTGTAAACGCACCCAAAACCCAATTCGACTTATGATATTCACAAAAACAGGAATTATTTATATATTTTTTAAAAATATATCTAAATAAGCCTGTTGCAACGCAGAAGGAAAGTGAAGTTGAATATGACGAAATTGCTTCAAATCATTGAGTCTGAGTTAGGCCTTTGAATGGTGTTGGACTAATTGTGTTTCTGGTGGTATAATGTGTTTAATTTGGTTTCATGTGTGCCACAGGAAGTCATCACACCATTCTTAAAAATATAATTGCCAGATAACGTGTACAAACACAAGCAATATGTAAGTCTTTGTTTACATTTCATTTTGTATCTAGGAGTGCATGAAACATGTTTGTGAATGACTGTGTGCGGGGGAAATAGCACAAGCACTTAAGGATTTGATTAAAATGTGAAATGCGTAACTATTACACTATGAGCACAGTAAGCAACCTTTTAATGGATGATTGAATTGAAAACTTAAGTTAAACAGATTTGAAGTGAGATGAAGCAGATGAGATGAAGTTGTGAGGACCAGGTGGAAGAACATGACAAACCTTTCACACGATGATCCTGCCATTTTGTCCAAAGTTATTTTTTGTTTGTTTCCAACGATGACTTAGAGGAAGATTAAGCTGGTTTAATATGTGTAATCAGAAAGGCAATGTAACAGAAAACTTGATATTTACAGTGTTACAACGTGTGTACCCATAAACATATCATATTTCAGAATGAATATAATCTTGATATGCCTGAGGACCAAGTTTATTTATCAACCAGAAGCATGTTAAAATATACTAGGCTTAGCTACTCCCACACCACCACCACAGATGTTTGCTCTGATCACTTTAGCTCAAATTATTGAATGAAAAGAACCACAAAGTGCCATGGTACATAACAAAAATGGTTTCATTGTTTTGTGATTCATTTGCTTTACTGTTTTTTTCTATTTCCAATAGAAAGAAAAGCTTCTGTGTTCAACAAAACATGCCTTCTACTCTGCACTGACAATGAAAATGGTAAGATTTTGCAATAACAATATCTACTATTATCAGTATTTAATGTTTAATAATAATAACAATAAAACATTGGCTAATATTATGAAAAGAGAGAGAGAGAGAGCGAGAGAGAGAGAGACTGCACTCCGGATAATACCTAGATAATTACAGGAGAACTGCTCTGGAGATTCTCCCGACCTAGCCATTCACATATGCTCCTCACAGCGGGAGACTATCCCTGTTAGAGGGGAGGGGGGTTTGGGGATTTCCTGAGGTAAGACGTGACGTAAAAAAAACAACGCAGAAGTATGCACCGTGCGGTAACGCTAAGCCGGACCGGAAGTGACGTCCGATGCTTTGATGCAAAGAATTTTCCTTGATGATTTTTTGTCCTCAAATTATTCGAGGTAGTTGAGGAATCGTTTCAGCCCTAGTCACAATACCTATAAAATCTTATATACTAGTCACAGTGTTTCCCACAGATTGACGAGATACCTGAGCGGTGGAGTACGCACGCTCATATTTTGATATTAGGTTTGTATTTATATCAAATATGTTCTGCCCTCTAAATTATTTTGGTTTTTGCAACAGACAACTTTAATCTGCTCAATTTATCAACGCACGAGCCCAGACCCAAACACAAGTTCCACTCGATATTCCATTATTTATAGGAGTCCAGCACAGCACTAGCATCAAGTAGCTGTACATTAACATTTTCAAGCCATGAGAAGTTTCAGTTTTGTACGGAGCCATGCGCGAGACAGTGCAAGGGCGCTCGTGAGACAGTGCAAGCGCGCTCGCAGCATTTTCATGAATAAATGACAAATTGAATAAAAACAAGTCAGAAATATACCTGGGCACCTACCTGGCGGCCAGTGGGAAACACTGCTAATCAGGGTAACACACACATCAATAAAGGGTAGATTGATAGTTAATTAAACTTTACTTAATAGTTATTTTACTGTCAACTAAACAATTAAATGATAGTTAAAAACGTTTGCTGAATATTTGTAATGCTATATTTTATGTAATGTTAACCGTTTATTGTTGCACACATCATAACATTTTATACACTATATCAAGTGTTCGTCAATGATTACCAAATTAATTGTAAACCTTTAGGAGATCGTTTTTAAAACATCTATAAAAATCAAATACTTAAATAATAATTCCTTGGGTTTCAAGAGGGTCCTACGCATTTGTTAATTTATATTTTGGAAATCATCTATTAACATTATTTGGATAGCTTTTATGAAGTTGGAAGTGAAGATTATAATAACACCTCATTAATACTTTGTAAAGCATCTATAAACATTTTTAGATAGCTAATTAATACTTTTCAATGGTTAATAATTGGTTTGTAAACCATCTACAATAATTTTCTGGATGGTTATTGTAAAGTTGAAACTGGTGTCTATAATACTTTGTAAATGGATGTATACTGTGTAGTGCATCTATAAGTGTTATTTGGGTGGTCATTTATAAAGTTGGAATAAAGTATAAAGTTATTATAATTGTCAGTTGCAACTTTGTAATAGCCATTCAAAAACTGTTAATAGATGCTTTATAAAATATTTATTAACCATTAAAGTGTTACAGATATAAAGTCCATGTATCTATGTAATTTTTATAGATGTTTTATAAGCAGTCTCTTAAAAGGTTTACAAAATGAACAAACACACCCATTCTTGAGAATTGGGACTGATCATGTCCCAGGCAAACAAGATTAAAAATATCACTTACGAACACACCTACCTAACCCACTCTATTTAAATGAAAATATCTTATTAAAATATTTTTTTATATGAAACAAACATGTAATACCAAATTTTCTGATTTAATTTATCATGTTTATGTCTAAACCTGAACTATGCTAGAAAACACCCTTGTCCCAGAATTTGAAAAAAAAAATTGTCAATAGTATTAAAAATCTTAAAACTACAAAACCTACTAATACAATAGGTGTAAAGAAAAACTAAATGTATTTTTTATGAACATTTTGACCTGTTAAAGTTGTGTCCCAGATTTTTGTCAACTCCGTCATACTTTTACAAAAACATAATGTAATCAGGCATAGAGGTGAGCTACAACGAAAGGACCCCTGTCTTAATTCCTGGTTTCAAAAAGGGGACAATCCTGTTCAAGCATCGTCAAGCCTTCTATTTTTTGAGAAATTCATTAAAATTATATTGCTATCAGGTGTGTCTTAAGCGTAACAAGATAACTCCATATCCCTTTAAAATCAGAACTAAATAAGGTTTATGGTTTATAAATACATGTTTTTGGTTTGCATTGAGAGAACTCGAAGCACCTTTGAAAACTAAAATGGCAACTTACCAAAGATAGACGTCAACTCCATCAGTTAATCCATCTGACAGGTGTGATGTAACTCAATTAACGTTATTAATTTAATTTTTCTTTTTTCAAATGATTTCATTTAATTATTATTACGTTATTTCACTATCATTCCTACATTAATAATGTTTTATACACATACTATGTAGTCGGAAGTCTTTAAATGATGTGAAGTCTGTCAAACGGCTGTCAACACTGTCAGATGTATTTTTCTATCATAATCATTAAATTTATGTTCACAATGCTTCATAAAATGATTTTATGTCAGTAAACAGTTTCTATGGTAGACCTTATGTGTATTATATGTTGTTATCGTCAAATTACAAAATCAACAGAATTTGTAGGTGAGCAACATTATAATTGTATTTATTTGTTGAATAACAAGAAACCAAACTTTTGGATTATACAGCTAATTGAATAATCTTGTTTTTAATTTTAAAAAATTTAAACATTTTACGTCAAACATTTCCTTTAGGTTTTATTTTAAAATACTGTGACTATTTGTAAGTCCGACAGAGTTGACAAAAGTCCTCAGCTGCAGAAAATAGTATTTTAGGAATAATAAATCACTGGGAGGCTGGCCCATTACAGGGTTTAATAGCCAAGAATTTAAAAAATATATATTTTCTCAGCATAATTGAAGAGAAAACAATGTAAAACAGAAAAAAATGGGTTTTGTCCCAATTCTCAAGAATGGGTATGTATAAAATGTTATCTGTGCATAAATAATAGCATTGCTAACAATTAGCTAACTTCAGTGTTTCCCCTACCATTACATTAGAGGGGGCGGCCCGTCCCCCCAACGGCACCCCCGCCCCCCTTGATGGTCAAGTTCGTCTTATTTTCTATATAGCGCCAGATCACAACAGAAGTCATAAGGATACCTTTCCTATAGAACAGGTCTGTACCTCCTCCTTTTATTAAACAAACTTAATAGCCTTATGTTATTTATCTTATATACACAACGCCGCGAGTGTTTACAATTCTCCTCTGCTCTCTGTGTCGTGCACAGCGGAGTTTTGCCCCGATGCGCACACACAAACATACAGACACGTTCGCACACACACACACACACAGACACTTGCGCGCGCACAGGTGAGCACCAGCGGAGGCCTGGGTGTGTGTGGTTGTGTCTGATGGACACACGCAATAATAAAAAGTCCGTAAGAAGCATCAGAAAATACAGTAGTCGACTTAGTTGACTTCGGACTTTTCTGGGCATGTCTCTCTCTCTGCCATTACTCAGGGGATGCGCTGTTAGCATGCTGCATTCAGGGGTGCTTAGACAATGAGAGATGCATTCAGGTGCGCTCAGAAACAGGAGTTGCAGGAACAACTCGCAGGACCCCACCAACATTTATCATCTATTGACAATAATGGTGTGAAACACTGTAACCTCATCACAAGATATGATACGATTCATGCCGACAATAATGATAATATTACAATACAGTGATTCTGCGATAACTTATACATTTATAGACAATCTTAGTGACACATTTTGATATTTGATTAACTGAAGAATTAAAAATGCCCCTAAAAAGCTAAAGATATTCTCTGCAATTAGATGTCAGTTTCACCTCTTATCATGCTTCATCCTTCAGCTTCTTTTCCCTACTGTTCTGCATTGTCCCACTTGAACTTGAAGTGTTTATGGGACTCCTCATTTGGCAAGGGAAATCTGTTTAGATGGCTATATTATTATCATTATGTTTTTGGCACCAACAATTTGATAATTGTATCACACAAGTCAGGAGGACAATATAATGTGTCACACAAATCAGGAGGACGATATAATGCCATATCCTTATTTTGTTCCATCCCCTTTATAGTTTGTGATGTTTAGATTGCTTAAGGGTTAATGATTGATATTTAAGGTAATTTCAGTCCATAAATGGATTATTTCTATATCAAATCTCTTTTCACAATATTCTTTTTATTCCTTCATTAGGTTTGACAGCTGTCATAAGTCTTGGGTGACAGACCTCTTTCTAGTTAACCGGATACAACTGCCACAGAAGATGGAGGACTCTCCTCACTTGTACATCTCTGAATTTGGAGACCGTGATGATATGGAGCAAGGGAAGAAAGAGGACATATATCAAGAGAACACTAATACGGAACCAGACATGATAAAGTCAGTTGGGCAAGATCCCCATAAAAATCCCAATCATAAAGCTGAAAAAGACTTGAACTCTTTTCCCTGCCAGCATTGTGAGAGACATTTTACCAGCAAACAAGGCTTGGAACGGCACATCCACATGTTGCTGAACAATGAGGCACATGTACATAAAAGCAATAGTAAAAATACGTATTTTGGTGCATATCTAAGTCAGCTGCAAAATGAGAAGATGACACCTCTGGATTCAGAGAGCTCAGTCATGCTTAATTCTTCATCCCCCATTAGCTCTGATACTTCCATTTTGTCAGTTGAAGACGACACTGCACAGCCAGACAAACAGCTTGTATCAGAAGGCCATTATGCCTGCAACTACTGTGAAAAGATATCCACTAAACATAACGACAAACAACTCTATGAACACAGGATCCATAAGAAGCACCTGCAACTTAAAGAAACTCACCTTCGTGAAGAGAAAAATCACCAGAGGATATTCAGTGAAACATCTCAAAACATTTCAGGCTTCGGTGACTGTTCAGCATCGTCAGCTGCTCTGTGGAATGAAAGAGAACACACAGAACAGTTCATGCTGGATGTTTCTGGCAATATTTCAGAGAATTTCAGCTTTTACATAGATGGAAAGATAGTGTCAACAAGTACAGTCAGTACCTGTGACGCTGAAGTTCAACATGGCTCTTCAACTTTAGTTTGTCGGGATGCCCTGATTCTAGATCCCGCCCAAATAAACCAGGTTTTATACACAGAATCACTTCCAGGTAAAGAGATACCTGGTCAACCATTAACCAAAAGAAGAACTGCAACACCACCCCTTTTACCGCAAATTGAAACAGAACTGGAGTCAAATGTGGTTGTGTCTTCATCCTCATCATCCCTTGTGTCTTCCTTAATAGAGAATACACTTCCTCAGAAAGTAGAGTCCACCATTGTGCAGAAGGAAAGAACAGTGTTTCTGTCACCTAAACTAAAGCAGCTCCTGGAGAAGCAGGATGGCATTGAACCAACTCTTGCACTCATCCCAGATGGCCAAAAGCCATGTTCACCAGTCTCCCTTTCTGTCCTGCCAGCTGGAGGAGGGAGGTTTACAAGAAGGACTGGATCCCCACCAATGTCCCCACAGGAAAACCCGACATATAACGAGGAAACAATGCCACTAGATACAGCAGACTGTGATGCTGTGAGCACAGCACAGCTGAAGACTCCCCATAGTTCACCTGAGCACCAAACAGCCCATGAGAAGGACAACACAACTCTATCAGTGGAGGAGCCAGCAGTGAAACCTGTCTTTTCAGAAAACTGGACTCCCGTGTTAGGAGGTAATTCCTGTAACCAGCAACCACTGGATCTCTCTAATACAGTAAAAAGAAATGAAGATGTAGCCTTAGCTGATGCTGCTCTTGACTTAAGTTTGCAAAAAAAAACTCTAGGTGAACTTGCTTTAAGTTTTGTTTCAGAGGCTATTTTAAAAGAAGGAAAATTAAATACTTGCATAAAGGACAAGGCATTAATGAATGTTGGAGAGCAAAATGTAGGTCTCGGAAATCACAAGACAATGTTAGTTGCAGACTTCATAGTTACAGGTCCAAATATAATGAACCCAGTAGAGCCACTTGTCGAGGGACTTGTTTATGGACTTGCCCTACCCCCCAATTCTCTGACTCCTTTACCTGCCTCCCACACCCCTTTCACCTTGCAGCCAGCTTCACCGTGCACTATAGCAATCACTTCCCCACACACCCTGCTCCCTTCTGCTCCTTCATTAATCACCGTTTTAGAACCACCACCGCCTATATCTAACCTTTCAAACCAGCAGGTCCAGGTAATAACCGATTTGTCAACATTTGCCACTACAAATTCTGAAAACCTTGGCACTCTCTCACAATCCCATGACCCACCTCTAAAGCTCCCTGGCCATGTGATTGTTACTGATCAAATAGCTCTCAATCAACCTATAATTGATTCCAGTTATGTACCCGAAGTTTCATTCCCTCCCACTATTACTTTAAATGATTCTCTTATAAATTCTTACAACTTTACTAGCAACACTGTGCTGATAGAGTGTACATTAGCTCTCGAAGACCCTGGGAATGTAGTCCCTGCTGAAATTAATTTACAGGAAAACACTGCAGAGTTCCCTGCACCCTCAAAGATGCTTGTTAATGACATAGAACAGCAACAGATTGTTTCAGTGCCCAACCCTCAAACTGTGGATCCAACTGTTCCTATGTCCTTTATTTCAGAGTCAAAAACCCTATCCACAACCACCTTGGTGAAATCTAATTGTCCTGCTGCAGGTGAAACAAATCCTGACTCAGAGCCAGTTAAAGAGCCACCTTCTGCAAAAGAAGAGGATGCTGCTGATAATACTATTCCCATACCTGAAAACCCAATAAAAAGTCCCATTTCTTCTGAAAAAGCTAAAGAAGGTGAATCCTCAAGTGAGACACAAAGTGATGCACAGCAACATACTTTCACGAAAAATTTCATTTGCAATGTGTGTGATAAGCTTTTCCATTCAATAAAAGAACTGAGCCATCATGTCGGTGGCCATGCTGATAAATGGCCCTACAAATGCGAGTTCTGCGTGTTGCTTTTTGACAAACCCTCCACTTTGCTTGACCATCGATCATGTCTCCACGGTGTTGGCAAGACTTATGTTTGCAGTGCATGCACTAAAGAATTTGTCTACCTTTGCAACCTGAAACAGCATCAGGAAGAGTCCCATCCTGGCAAGCAGTGTACATACACAGAAGAGGAAAAGGGGAAACTAAGACCTCAGAACTACAATTCCTCAATAAAAGTCAACATGGAGACCTCAGAGCCAGATACTCCAGAGGATCATGAAAAACGGGTGAAAAAGGAAGAAGGTGAAGCAGATGTGGCTACTGAAGAATTGTTCACAACAATTAAAATCATGGCCTCAGATGGAGCCAAAATCAGTGGGCCTGATGTTTGTCTTGGCATCAATCAGCATTATCCCAGCTATAAGCCTCCTCCTTTTCCATACCATAACAGATCACCTGATGGCTCAGTAGCTTCAGCCACAAACTTTAACACCCACAACATCCCACAAACCTTTAGTACAGCTATCCGATGCACAAAGTGTGGCAAAAGCTTTGATAACTTACCAGAGCTGCACAAGCATATCCTTGCTTGTGCAAATGCCAGTGATAAAAGGCGATACACACCGAAAAAGAATCCCATCCCACTACGCCACTTTGCAAAAACTCAAAATGGAATATTGTCTGCTAATAGGCTAAATGCTTCAAACAGACCCAGCCAATCAAACAGGTCCAAACTTGACCAAGAATCAACAGACAGAATAAAGTTCAGGGTTCTGAACAAAAGGAAGAAAAGGTTTGCACAAAGGGTCATGCCACAGAGGAACAAGTCAGCCCCTCCAGCAAAAAAAAATTCTCCAGTACAGGTGAACAAGCAGCAGGAGATCTTTGTTTGCCCTCACTGTAGCAGAGAATTCACAATGCGTCGAAGCAGAACCAAACACATGGCAGTCTGCCCCAAGAAACCCAAAGAGGTGAAGAAAAGGAAAGATGAAGGTATATCTGTAACTAAGGAGAATGATGGACACATACATAGAGGACTGGGAGAGAAACAAGCCTCACCTAAGCATAAAACAAGACTTCAGACGTCTTGTCCTGCTAAAAGACCTGCTTTCCTGCCAGCACAGACTGTCTTTGCAGACAAAAGAAGCAAAATAGTTATAAAAGAGAGCATGCAGCCGAAACAAGAGACATCCACTCTGAGTGAACTTTCCATTGTTCGCACGTTCAACCCCTCCATGCGTCAGTATAGCAGAGTGCAGCATAGCATCAAAGGAATCCCCATTAAAATCACCATAGTGAAACCACGGCAGATTTCACCACAGAAGGGGAAGCCGCCTTTGGCCCAGGGCCGAGAGGAAGCAACTGGAGCTGTTATTAACATCTCTGAGCAGAATCCAACAGGTTAAAGACTAACGAGCAGCCCTCCAGGGATCATCAGGTAGTTGAAGCACTTTAAAACAAATTGCTAAATAATGATCAAGTGATGTCAATGCAAACAGAATAGAGGTATTACAGTACATGTATCCTCTACAGGATAAACAACTGCAAGTTCCTTCTACAAAAAACAGTCCTCTTAGAATGATATAATTGTTATAATTGCACACTCAGAACTGAGAATAACAGAGAAAAAAATAATGTAAATTATAAATAAAAACTTGATAAATAGAATCACTTTAATCAGGCATCAATTGCCTTAATGCAGCAATGTGCTCATAGAAGGCAACTAACCCCATTCATTTCAATAAATGTTTTGTTTTGTTGCTTTCAGGACCCTGCTGTTTGGAACTCCACCTACATATATGTGGCAGTGATACTAAAGGAAGAGAACTTCTTAACACACTTCAAACACCATGGACTCAAAGATTGCATCACATTGTACAATGAACGACTGAATTGCAGACAGTAGAAGAAAATTGATGATACTGCAGTGAGTGGATGACTTTGAGTATTTGAATGCTTTTGTAGCAGCTTGGAGGTTTTGTAAATTTCTCCTTTACAAAAACATTGTCACCATCTTGGATTTTCACTTTGAAGTTAATCTGACTGCAAAATGTCAGAAATTGAAGAGGAGTCGAAGGAATGACACTGGAAGGCGTCTCTCATTTCATATTGGCAGGTTATTCAGAGGGAAAGGCAGGTGGCAACCGTTTTCAGCAGGCATTTGCACTTTTTCTTTTCTGTTGTCTGTGGCCTTTTGCTTTTAACTCTTACTGCATGAACTTGTATCACCCCTACATGTATTAGGATTGTTTAAAATGGTGCAGTTGGGCATTTAAAACTGAATCTATTGTGGCTCTCTTGATCTGATTGAAATTAGAAATTGTAATCACAGAAAATACATCAAGATTGCCTCTAAATAAAAAATAACACTGTAGTATTGTGGCATTGCTATTTACTATTAGAGATGCAATTGCCATTTTTTGCAACAAACTTAATATTGTCTCATTGGTACATCCTTTGAAAATCTTAATTTTTGATTATGTGGATATATAAATTGCCACGTTAATATTTAGCTATTTATCTGATAAAGGTTTTGAGAAAATTGTGTCATCAAGTTGATACATGACCAACTGTGTCATGAAGTTGAAGTGGAAAAACTGCCGATTGGTATTTTCCACATACCTAACCTAACCCAAAAGCATTTTTTTTCATCCTACAAAACTTGGTGTGAGAATTGGCTAAAAGTGCCTGTATTATTTTATAAAAAGGTTGCCCTATGCAGCCCAATGTCATATGTCAAAATTTAGGTAAACAGGCCACCACAAATTGATAATTTACTCTTAAAAATTAAAAGATTCATCAGTTTGATGTATTCACACTGCAGTTCCCAAACTACTCTAATTATGTACTGCATCATAGCAAATAGATGTATTCAAAGTTAAATCAGCATTTAGTGCTCAGCCTTTCTGCAATATATAGTTGTCCAGTTTGTAGACATTATTTTGCACCCGAATACTACATAGAAACGTGGAACATTGAAGTTTTTTTTTTCATACAACAGCTAGAAATCATCATTTAGTAAGTCCAGTCTGTGTCCAAACACTGTATCATTACTTATAACCTGTATAACAGTCGTCAACATTGATTGATGATTGTTAGACGAATACAAGCGTGTACACAACAGACATTTTTATAAAGAGTCACTACTGGATGTATGAAAGAAAAAATGTATGAGGCAAGTTGTCACTATCTTAGAGCTTCTTTATTGTATAGTTATGTCAATGTAATAGAATTATGTATATTGTATAGTTTGAGTCCAATTAAAAGTAAAATTCGACAGTGGCTTATATCTAGAAGAGAGAGCGAGTTATGGTACTGCTATTTTACATTTTTGCATTTAGAAAATTGCTGGTAATATTTCTAAATTGAGACTGATGTGTAGGATGTACTGGTCCTTTAAGGAGACTAATATTTAACTGTGAAAAGTGCTTGTAGCACTTTGAGCTTTTAATTGAGCTTTGTATATTTATTTAAAATCATGTCCTCAATCTCTGAACAGTTTGTCTGTATGATTTGCACTTAAAGTTTTTCAAGCAAGTATCACAAAAATGTAGAATGTTTAGGTTATACGTGAAGTTTGTGCAAAATGTCTTTAATAAATGAATAAAATTAATAACATTGGTGTTAGCAGTTTTTTTAAGTGCCTGTGTTATGAAGAGAAATAATACTGTAAGAAAAATATTTGTTATTGCTTTGTGAGGTTAAACTTTTCACTACTTGGGGGAGTAGTGTGGCTGTCAGGTAGGCAGAGGTCATTATACTCAAGGGGTTACTTGATGCAGGTGTTGTAGACTCTTATTATTATTAATAATAATAATAATAATAATAATAATAACTTTATATAGCACTTATCTAAACAAGGTTACAATGTGCTTTACAGAGTGCAAAGAGAAAACAAGATTTAAAACAGGCAGAATATAAAATATGCCTTAAAATGCACAGCAAAAACACTGGTACAATAAAATACATAAAAATTAATAAATAAATAGATAAAATTAAGGTAAGAACAAATAAGGTCAATCACAGCAGCACGAGCTACTTGCATTTACTTCCAGAGCGTAGGGGCTCAGAGATAACGCTCAAGATACATACATACATAGGCTACATAGATATGCATGCCTCAAAGTTTGGCAAGAGAGTAAGTTATTTTATGTGAGAAAGGATGAATTCAAATGTATGCTTGTGATGATTTTATTTCTTGAGCTGTAGTTATTTATTTACACCTCCAGAGGGCAAATCCACTGAAGTCAACGTTAGTTGTGGTAACTTTATTTCCTTGTTATTCACTGTCAAGGTAATCATATGGACATGGTTTAAGTTTATTGTAAGAACATTAATCATGTTAATGCTTTCACAGTTGAACTTTACAGTATCCTTATCGTTTAATATAAGCTTGATTGACTTATTTTACCCCATATATAGGCTATATCGTGTGTAATATGGACAGGCACTAAAAGGTTTACCTAAATGAAATTTTCAGCTGCCAAAAAGTGATTATCATCCTATTGACTGGATGGGTGTTTATGCCCTATATTGATCTAAATTAATTGTAATCACTGTAATTCATCATTTCCAGCAATCAAACCTTCTTACCTCACAACCATAAAAAATGGACACTCACCTGCCTTCTCTCAGTGGACATACTTGTTGGGGTTTTATCTGGTCAACTTCGGTTATATTTTTAAGAATTATATTTAATTAACATTAATATAAATAACAATATCAATAAACTATGTTTAATCAACTTGGGGGCACCACCCTGAAATCAGGGAAATATAACCAAAATATTACTAAAATCAGTCTCAAATTAGTTACTTAATTACTAATATTATTAATAGTTAATAACTGTATTTAATAAATTGAAGGCGTGAAATCCGTACATAAAGCCCTCGCACCTAGTTTATATCACAATGCAAATACAGCAGTAATCACAAACAACTGCTCTCTTAAATTATAACAGAATTCATTTAAACAAAGTAACAGCAATCCAAAATCAATGAACTTAATCAAACAAATAACTATTACAAACTAATCTAAGCAACAAACATTATCAAGCAAGGCTTGTGAATGAGGATGAGGGGCTGCAGTAGCTCAGTCTGTATGGACTTGGGTTGGGAACAACCAAAAATGGAAGTTGGTCTGGTAGCTGGAGAGGTGCCAGTTCACTTCCTGAGCACTGCCGAGGTACCCTTGAGCAAGGCACCAACCCCCCCCCCCAGACCACCACCACCACCACCACCACCAGCTCAGGAGCGCCCGCTGTCACTCTGACATCTCTCCATTAGTGCATGTCCATAGGATCCTGGTTTGTGCATGTGTATATTTCAGCCTATGTGTGTGTTGCATGACTTACAGAGTGTAAAAACAGAAATTTCCCCTTGCAGAGATCAATAAATCTTAATCTTAAAAGTGTAGTTGTGGACCATGTGGCTTCGTCACATGGACAAAATGGTGGACAACAAAGGAAGCCGTCAACTTTGGTTATATTCTTTAATAACTGTTACTTAAACACCAGAAAGCCAGTGGCCGGACTTTGATTCAATGGCGGGTACACTGGTCTTTCTGTTTGTGAAAGCCATTGACTGAAGGTAAACTAGCATAGCATTACACCCATAGCATTATGGCCGGCTGTCGCTCAGTTGGTAGAGTTGTCGCCTCTCAACCGAATCCTCTTGAATGCTGGAGTCCATCATGTTGGAGAGGTTACCCTCGGGTGTCAGCAGACCACACTTGAAGAGAATGAACGTGAGTGGAGTGATTGCTTTTAAGGATTGGAATTGCTGGGGGTTTACCTCAGGTCTCCTCCAATGAGGATAGAGAATTCAGACATCCCCCCAACCCCCCACTTTTCACACCTATTTGTTAGTTGCTGTTGGGGGGTGCTGGGCTAAGACTCCTTTGTATGGTTCCCTCCAAAACAACTCTAGTCAGGCTTGAGAACTGTGATACAGGCCTGAGTCCTTTGTCCAGCACACATGGCTGAGGAAAAACAATACTGTATGTGTAAAGGGTTAAAAAATGTGTATATAATTCATTACAGTGAAAATACAGTTCATTGCTGTTAGTACGAATTTTCATGAAATTCATTAATCTTGGTAACTTCGTGAAATGTATTATTCAAGTCTGCCTACCACCTGTTAACACTCCTACCTTTAGGTGTCTGAAGCTGTAACCTTATATGAGTGAAGCACCTAAGTAGTAGCAGATCTATGTTTGGATAGGAGCCAACCATATGTTGTCAGCAACTGTTTGCTAGACAGTAAGTCTACAGTTGTTACGTATACAAATCAGTGTCATGTCATCTTTATTGTTTTATGGTGATGTACCCAAATGGAAAGGAATTTGTGGGTTGCACCTTTTTGACAGAATATAAGCAGCACTGTGAACACTGTTACTTGTTCAGCACTTTGTCAGTCAAGTGATTTGGAAGCGTGCTTGTTTGATGAAGTTGTCTGACCTCGGCCGATTAAATGGTGTTATAATCTCCAGTCTGTTTCACGATTTCTTCATTGGATTTGTACAAACAGAAACAACCCACACCTAACAATTGCTAAAAGAAAAAGTTTATTGAGTTAAAAAGAGACCCCAATATATTTTTTTATCATCATGTTTATGTATCTCAAACAGCTATTTAAAGCCGAATTCCAGTGCACTGAACTTGTTACTATAATCAGGTCGCTATATATACTATGGAAGCCGAGAACAGCCATGGATTTTTATTTTTTTTATGCACTCGTTATCTCGTGATAACGACTTATTATCTCGTTATCTCGATATAACAAAGATTGCTTTCTCGTGATAACAAATTAATTATTTCGATATCTCGATATAACAGAAAGACTTTTGTTTTCGTGGGATTGCGCGCTGGTTAATGTGATCGTGCTGCCACTGTCTGGTCCAGGTGTGTCCCAGGGAGGTGAAAATGGCAGATCACATTATTGATCAACGCATCAGGATGTACTTCAATCAAGGTCTAACACAGGCAGAAATTGCATTGTGCCTTTCTGTTAGAGATGGCATTCAGATTAGTCCTCGTCATTTAAGGAGAAGACTAGCCCGGTTACAACTTCACAGGCGCCAGTTAAGTGATCCTGCTGAGATTGTTAACTTCATTAGCAACCAGATAAGAGGACTGGGTCGTCTTCATGGTTACCGAATGATGCACAAGAGGTGCAGATTGGCTGGACTCCGTGTTACTGGTGACATGGTTCAGGAGGTTCAGTCACTGTAGGACTGTACGCCCTCTGGGGCAACGGAGAGGAACAAGATCTTATAGTGTCCCAGGGCCCAATTATTTATGGCATATGGACTCCTATGACAAGCTGACTCCTTTTGGCATTGAAATATGACAAGCTGACTCCTTTCAGCATTGGAATAAACAATGGGTAAATTGATGGGTTTTTGCGTCATATAATCTGGATGCAAGCAAACTCTATTTGCAATTAATAAATTCCAGTAGTAACCCCAAAGTCATCGTAGCATACTTCATTAATGCAGTCACAGAACTTGGGGGGTGTCCAAAGATAATCCAATCGGATTTGGGAACTGAAAGTGTCCATGTTAACAGGCTGCAACACTTCTTCCGAGAAGATGAGACTGGCATTGTGCATGGGCCGTGTGTGTTCCAAGGACGCAGTACAAGCAAATCAATGGATTGAAAGCTGGTGGGGGATCTACAGGAGACAGAACGTGAGCTATTGGAGGGATGTCTTCCAGGAATTCCAGGCAACTGGAGACTTTAATGGGGATTTCATAGACAAGGGTCTCATCCAATTCTGCTTTCTTAAGATTATCCAAGTAAGTCCTCCACTGCCCATATATTCAATATAGTACATCTCAGGGCTGTATTTCGTGTTGTTTTGGTATGAAAGCTGAACCAGCTTTCATAACAATTTGCCGCCTGCTCCACTTGTCTGCATTCATACACTGGTTATTACAGGGTTAAGTGTCTTGCCCAAGGACACATCTGACATGTTGCCCAGCTGGGGATTGAACCCTTGACTTTCTGGTTGAGAGGCGATGACTCTACCAACTGAGCCGCAGCCGCCCCTTATCAGTGTCAGTCCTGATATCCTGGTGTGCACTTGTTATTATAGATTACACTTAAAATGCAACATAATTTTATTTTTAACTTTAAGGGGGTCCTTGCTCTGTTTCTCTAGCAACCAAGGGGTTGAAGACCCCTGACATAAACATTATGCTTTCATTATTATTATTTTTAAAATAGAACTACACTATGTTAACATAGAGCTTAGTACTGGGTTCACATAGGCCTACATGGGATTTTGTATTCAGCATTTGACCCACAGATGTAACTAAATGATGACGCTGAAGTGGAGCTCTTTAGTGTTCACTTGTTTTCCTTACCCTCCATATCCAATTGATGACTAGTTACTTGGAGGCAAATGTAGCTACATATTTCCAAAAAGAAGAGTAAACCAAAAGCACTCTGGCAAAAAATGTAAAAAGTCTTTATTAAGATGGCTATATCATCATGAAATATTTAACTCTCCTGTTGTCCTCAGGTCAAGCATGGAAGGGAGGAAGGAAGGAAGAAAAGAAGGCAGGACAGAGGAGGGAAAGGAGGGAAAGAAGGAAGGAAGGAAAGATGGCTGG